TTTCCCTCTCATGATCCATAGCTTGAGCTCTTGTCTTGAGCCAGTGAGAAATTCATTGGTCTACACAAATGCAATGATGCAACGTTTTTACTGACTTCATTACAAGCAGTTTTGGGTCAGGGAGAGAATCAAATTCATGCAAATCTATTCCTTCAGGGCATCAAATTTCTGAGGAGTTGGACACCTCAACTACCCTTAACTTTTAGGCAAACAATAGCCCCAAACCAGGAGCCCTGACTGTGGAAACACCATACTCATGTGCACTCCAGGCCAGAATCAGAGCTGACCAGTTGTTTTGCAATAAGAAATTATACCTTGGGAAAAAAAATATTTAATAAAAACATACCTGTAAAATATTCTCCAAATTCTTGTTCTAATTTAATTGCTCGATCATAGGTTTTCTTCGCTTGCTCCTCTGTAAGACGTTTATTCATTTCCCTAGAAAAGCAGACGAAGTAATCAAGAAGTTTAGATTCTTACTAGAACAGCTTTCGAAAAGATATGTTCAACTGAATCACAGATGAACTGAAATCAGTACCAGAGTCAAACAGTGAAATTCTTCCATCAGTTCATGGGCAATTTCAAGATTTTATGTTTAATTGCATTCTTATATAGTATAAATGTACATTTTCACACTTTTCTCTGGACTGTTTCCCATTTCTCCACTAATTTTTATTTTGGTTTCACTACTTTACATTCCCAAAGGAAATATGAGGCTCAAATCTGGTAACTGCTAACTGAGATGGACTGGTGGCATCACGAACCCATGTGTAAGTCTGGGACCACGGAGGTCTCAAGGTCTGCACCCTCAGAGCACTCCTGCCTCCAGAGCTGAAGCTCTTTCAGGAACCTCCCTATCTCCCAGGCATTTCATTGTGTCCTCTGTTCCAGTCCTTTCTGATTAACTACAAAGATTCCCAGTACACAGGGTACCAATAAATGTCAAAACATACACATTGTCAGTATTTCTGTAATTGCCAATGTTTTGTTATTTGGTGAAGCATTTCTGTTTTGATAGAGGCATTATTTAATAACTTGAAGAGATGAGTTGTCCTGCCCATGGATGCTAAGCTTTTAGCGCCACTGTATACTTTCAAAGAATCAAGTTCATACTAATTCAGTGCCTTACACATGCCTGCAGATATCCAAATTAATTAGCAATAAAAAATGGAGTTTGCTTGTTCTAGCATTTTTCATGGGATAGATTCATTTTTCTTAAAACATGAGGGAAATTTTCTGAGGCAACTAGAAAAGGAAGGAGCATCCTGTGTTCTACATAAATTTGATTTAATGCCTTGCACTGAATCATATGATTATGTGGTAATGGACTGTATACAGTATGACATGGGTGATGCATGTAGGAAATTATGTGCACGATGGTGCATAAAAAAAGATCTATGAAGTGCACAACAGTATGATCTTGCTGCAGCTAACTCCTACCTGTCTTCTGAAAAACACCCTATAAGGTGTGCAGGATGCAAAAAAGCTATTTCTAGAAAAGATGAGAGCTGTCCATGTATATAACTAACTGCATAGCTGGGAACACTGCTTAGAAAATCTCTCTGGAAGTACCAATGCAATGCAGAAGGCAGGTCTATAAAATGAAGGATAAGAAAGGTTTCTTTAAAAACTTATGACAGTTATTTGTGGATTATATAAATAGGTTTAATCCATGCCAATCTGTGTCATGCTGTGTCACACATTAAATCTGTAATACTACTAATTCTATTTATTGGAAGGATTGCTATCTGAGTTCAAGTGGGCTTCTCATCAGCCATGCCTACTTGAACATGTCTTTCGGTGACTGAACCAAAACTCAGTCTTGAAGTGGGACATAACACTGCTAATTCTTATGCACACTTAGCATTTTATCTCAACTTAAGGTCGCTCAGCCAGTATTTTAGTGCTAACAATATTCTCCTTCCAGATCTATTTCCAGTAAATTTCTGAGAAGTCTACCTAAAGATCCTTGCCTATTAGAGGAGAAAATACAAATAAAAATATAATCAGGCATTTAAAATAATAAATACTTTGACATAAGCAGAAATTTGCATTGTATATGCAGGGGTCTTTGCCTGGGGTCTAAAGCTGTGCCAGTTGTATTCATGCCTCGTGCCCTCAGGAGAGAGGATGAAGAATGGAGACGACCACGATGTCCATTTTTAACGATGAATTAAAAGTGCTGTCAAACAACAGAGCTGTCCCTCCAGGCACGTTTGCCTCCTCTTCCAGTGAAGAGCTCACCCAGGCAACCTCTTCCAACTCTCAGCACCATGGTCCCACTACCACCCTCCTTCTAGAGAGGTCGATTGAGACGTACCAACAGGGGCCCCTCTGGGATTAAACCATGTGGAGATGCGAAAGGAAGGAAGGAAGGGGGACATATGGTTCCCCATATGGAACGTATGTGTAAATGAGAATCAGGCCCCTCAAATTTAAGTGATAGTTTTGCAATGAGCGAAATCTTTTGTTTCTCTGCATCTCCTGATTAGCAATTTTTTGTCTTTTATGAGTTTACTTTGCTATTACACTAACTTTCAATTACTTGATATGAACAGGAGTAATAGTTATGGCAGATAAACTGGTAATTTTTGTGTTGTAGTAGTTACACATATAAAAAAGACTCAGTGAACAGAGTTACGCTGTCATAAAAATGTCTTTCTGTTCCCATAGAGCATTGGTTTGTCTTGTTAAATTTGTCCATACTTAAATAATAGTATCTATTGGAAAGGGGTTATATCCATTCACCTATATACACCCTACAACTCACTACCACTTAGTCACAGAATATGTATTTGTTAAGCAAGACCTTCAGTGATTTAGCTTCATTGCTAAATAAAATCATTTTAACAAGCAAGGGTCTTGGAATTATTCTCAAGACAATTCTTTAAAAAGAACACCACCATTTCTATTAAAAGAGTTCTTATTTCTGTTAGTTACTAATTTTGGGTGCTGTTTGGTAAGATAAATACACATTAGATAGATTGACTCGATAAAAAGATTAGTTATGGAGAGCAGGCTGCAGGAGATAAACTAATTTAGAACGCATGAATTCATTACATTTTCCCTTTATTTTTAGGAGTTGTGTTGTGTTTACATAATTTATATATATATAAGCCACGTTTCTGCAAAATTTCCCTAACTAATACTGATATATGAGGACTTTTGCTGCCCCATGAAAGTCTGAATTTCTAATTAAGGGTGTCTTCCACAGGGTATTTCCAGAACCTTTGAAGGAATTCAAAGACATATAATGGATTTCCCTTTGTCCCTACCATACTGACAACAGTGAGGCAGGTTTGGATTTGGAGAGTAAGGAATAGCTGACTTCTGATTTATATCAGTAAGAAAATTTCTGCTAACTCTGCATAACTTGTTTTGTCGTAAGTGAAATATTAGCATTGCTTTCATTTAATAACAGGATGTTGTCATAATATTTTGCATTTTCATAACAGTTTTCAGTCAATCTGTTCAAGGATTTGCCATTTTTACATCAAGTCAATGAAGTCTTTATGTTAGTGACACATCTTTGGTTCTGCCCAATGTATTTTTCAGAGTAAGGGTCACTTCTATTTACCAACTTTTTTTTTAAGCACTCTGGATGCAAGGCCAGCTTTAAACAAATAATGGAATAATTTTATGGATGGGAAAAATGTAGGTTAAGATCTATCTTAAAACAATCAATGCAGACTGGAGAATATCAGACCATCCTTCTCCTTCTATACAGCAAGATAATCATAATGTAACTGAATTGTAGAGCTGGAAGAAATCACAGCATCACAGAATCACAGAATGTTAGGAGCTGGAAGGGACCTTGAAAGCTCATCCAGTCCAACCACTGCCAGAGCAGGATCCCCCAGACCAGGTCACACAGGAATGCATCCAGGTGGGTTTTGAATTTCTCCAGAGAAGGAGACTCCACAGCCTCTCTGGGCAGCCTGGTCCAGGGCTCCATTACCCTCACAGTGACAAAGTTTTTCCTTCTGTTCAGGTTGAACTTCCTATGCTCCAGCTTGCTCCCTCTTGTCCTGTCATTGGACATCCCAGAGCAGAGCCTGGCTCCTTCCTCCTGACACTTGCCCTTTAAAAATTGATAAACATTAATGAGGTCACCCCTCAGTCTCCTCTGCTCCAAGCTAAAGAGCCCCAGCTCCCTCAGCTGCTCCTCATCAGGGAGATGCTCCACTCCCTCCATCATCTTTGTGGCTCTGCGCTGGACTCTTTCAAGCAGTTCTTGTCCTTCTTGAACTGAGGGCCCAGTACTGAACACAATATTCCAGATGTGGTCTCACCAGGGTAGAGCAGAGGGGAAGGAGAACCTCTCTGACTTACAACCCCTTCTGATACACCCCAGGATGGCATTGGCCTTCTTGGCCGCAAGGGCACATTGCTGGCTCATGGTCATCCTGCTGGCCATCAACACCCCTGGGTCCCTTTCCCCTGTGCTACTCCCCAGCAGGTCAGTTCCAAACCTATACTGGTACATGGGTTTGTTTTTCCCCAGATGCAAGACCCTACACTTGACCTTGTTGAACTTCATTAGATTTTTCCCCACCCAACTCTCCATCCTGTCTAGGTCTCCAAGAAGACATCCAACTCCAGAAGTCTTTGGTCAGGGGGAGGTTAAGCAAGTACCATATATACTGTGCACCATTCCCATAATGCCACTGGACATGCAATCAAAAGGCAAGGACAGGGAGGATGCACATTCGGTCACAGGATGGGGCACGTTAGCGGTCCCCAGCTCTGTGACCCAATGTTTGTGGCTACACCATCACCATAACCAGATACGGATCTGTCACAGGAGGGAGGATGTCCCCCACTTCCAGGGTCATACTCAGAACCCAGCTGAGGCCCCATCCGCACCCAGTAAAACAAAACAGCTGTCTATTGTGTCCTTACAAAACACTGAAGTTAATACAGCCCACAGTGGCACTTTCCTTTTTTGCAAACACATTATCCATCTATTCCTATTCCTGCATGAGCCATCCCAGCCACCACATGCTTTTCTGCAGTGCTGTAGCTAAATTATTCCCTGCTTGTACTCGTGCATTTCATTTTCTCTCCTTTGTCTGTACTGAATTTCATTTTATTGATTTTACATTGAATTTTAATCCGAAGTGCTTGCCACCTTGCTCAGCATTGAGTTATACACAAACTTTACACAAACTTTACAAAAGTACTGCCAAATTCATTGTTCCAAGTAATTAATGAACTAGTGGTCCCAAATAGTGACACAGCTCCAGAAATACACTTGCAGGGTTTTTGTTACCCTTCCAGTTCAACAGTGCCATTTTCAAGTACTGAGTATGGTTGCGCAGATGCTTTCTAGTGATTCTCTTAGAGCTATATTTCCATAAGCTTATATTTCCCTAATTATCATTGTATTTCCCTAATCTGCTACTGAGAATGTCCTTTGGAGCCAGAATAACAATCAAACTGCAGTACAGTTATTGCTATCCATCTTTTGAAAGAAGAAAATAAGATTGATTTGATTTGCTCTTGATGCACGTACACTGGCTACCTCTTATAACCTTTTTATCCTCTCAGTTATTACATTTGAGTTGCTTAAGTGGTCCCTGGATCCCCAGATTCTTCTGAACATTGAAATCAGGTTGCCTATGACAGCGTGAAGTTGGTGCCTTCCCTTTCCTTAAGTGTTATGTTTGCTTCTCTCCAGTCCCACAGGCTCCTGCCTATCTTACAGACCTGTGAGTAAATGCAGAGCTGACTAAGAGATGCACAGAGCAAGTCTGACATGGATTTACCCTCTGGTTTGCCCATGTGTGCATCATGATCAGACTCTACACCTCAAAGGCACCCAAGGCTGAATGGGACAAGCCATAGGGCAGGAGGCCTTGGTGAACTTGCTGCACCGGTTGGAACAACTACACTGAGCACTGGTAGGGAGTCTATCGTGGTCCAGCACGTCAGCCCATGTGTCCCAGTGTGAGAGGTTCAAAGGCAGCTTTCATAGAGTCACAGAATCACTAAGGTTGGAAGAGACCTCTAAGATCATCAAGTCCAACTGTCAACCCAACCCCACCATGCCCACTAAACAATGTACCCAAGTGCCACATCCATGCACTTGAACACCTTCAGGGATGGGGACTCCAGCAACTCCCTGGGCAGCCCCTTCCAGTGCTTGTCCACTCTTTCAATAAGGAAATTTTTCCTAATATCCAATCTAACCCTCCCTTGGTGCAACTTTGGGTTGTTCCTTGAGATGCCACAGTACAGCAGCTGGCAGGTGGAGAGAACAAGTCCTCACTGTTCCCACTTCCTCTTTTATTACTGATTTTAGAGGACAGGTAAAATCTAGACTCAAGACCTGTGTTGTGCCACTTGAGACTGTATTCTGAAAGTAAAATGCCTGAAGGAATTTGTACTTACATCAGAGGCTCCCATGATTTAGGCTTAATGAAGATAGCGATGGGATAGAGTTGTGCAACTTGTAGTCGTTTGATAGCATTTCCTGACACATCGAGTATACAGTGCTTGCCCTGTTGGAAACAGATGAAGATGTGTTTATTTTTGCAATTTTCTACAGATCAGCCAAAAGACGGGAAGCAATTCTGTGATGCTGTGCCATGAGGCAGGGCCATTACTGGCACACCAGGGAAGGGGAACCCCAGGACTCCTCTGTGCTTTTTCCTTTGCTTTGGTGCTAATATAAAATCTTCACTGGAGATGTGAGAACAAAGTTGTTTTTTATTTTTACTGTGATGAACTTTGCGGAGAAGGAGGGATATTCTTCAGAGGTGAGGAAAATCAGTTCATAAAAATAATAGGATGTCTAAGTTCTTACTGGTTAATTTACCTCTTGTTTGTGTCAAAGATTCCCTAAGGCAAGTAATTTAATCTCTCTGCACTTTATTCTTTCACCTTTGTGAGAGTGAGATAAATTTATTTACCTGTCTTATAGAGGGAAGGCTATTTTGGGGTGTACTTGAGGCACTGCAGTACATCCCTGAATCCATAGCACTACATCCTGGTACAGAAAGTGCCAAGAATGTTGTTACTGAAAATCAGAGACTCCACTTGTGGAGTCACTGTAAAGCCTATAAGTAATAGGGTGACATTTTGGAGTTAATTTCTGGTTTTGATGTGGCAATAAAACTAGTGTCAACCTACCCTTTCTGCCACGAATCTCACAGACTGGACACTAGTTCCATATAAATTATCATTGTACTGCCCAGCTTCTATAAATTTGTGCTCTTGGATATCTTTTTCCATTTGTTCTCTTGAAATGACAAAATGATAATCTCTCCCATCCACTTCATAGTCTCGCTTTGGCCGTGTGGTATCTGTGTGAAACAGAAGATAAAAGGTCAAGAAGTCGGTAAAAAACATTTCATGCCAAAAATGTAGCAATTAAGGTTTGCTCAGTGGGCAATGCTGGGTCTGCTGTAATTGGAGGTTTTCCACATCTGGGAGAAGATCTTTGGCTACTACATTTTGTTTTCAATGGAGATATGACAATAAAGCTGATTTTTTAAAGTAATACATTCTAATGTTCACCTCCAATCAATACTTACAGGCAAACAAAAAATTAGGGTTTACCAGAATTCCACTTTTTTTCAGCAGGATTACACACAAACCTCAAATACAAAATGCATTCCAGTTTGTAAATCTAATCCTATTACAGTGATAAAATGAATAGCAATCTCATCAATTTAATTTAGCCTTAATTATAAGGCTGACTCTAATATCATCTCAAGCAGTTTTAAGCTGGTGTATTTGCAGAGAGAACAGTTTAAAATGAAGTAAAACTGCAATCAGGGTCTGAAATAAACACTCAGCAAGCTCTAATGATCCAAGATACAAACACTCTGCTTAATTAAGGGTCCAATACTGGTCTCAGATCAGGCAGTCTCGATCTCACACAAATCACTGATTACTCTATTTATGTTAGTGGATACTGTGCAATTGAGTTGAAACATTTTACGTTTTACCTGTATTTCAAACTCTTGTTTAAGATACCACAGATTAATTAATGAGTAAATTGAGTTAGTGGCTAGAAGCCTCCTTCTTTAAAAAAATGCTACAGTTATTGAGACAATTCTTTTGAGAAATTCTTTCCAGACCTTCACAATCTTCTGTTTGTTTGTTTGGTTTTTCCTTTCCACTTTTTTGTCCAATGGAAAAATGGCTTTTGAGAAACTTAACAACATATAGTTCATAGATGCTGCTTTCACAGCAATTCATTTAATGTGTAGCACCAAGGGATACAGCTCACTCAGCTGCAAAACAAGGCATAAAATCATACTTACGTGGTACACAAGACCCAAACTTATCAGGGAATTCAGATATCAAATCATCGTTGATCCGATCTTTCATAGGACCCAGAATAATAACTGGCCTGGTGTAATTAACTGAAGAACAAAAAGAAATGCACAATTTGATGATCTTAGTGGCAATAATAGTAAATCTTCCCAAAGGTGCACTAACCAGAGCTGTTACTTTTATGTATGAAGTGAAAACTTAGGTGTACATTTTATTGATGAGTAATTTATTTATTGACATGGATAAGGGAAATGGAACGGCTACTGCTCATTTTGCAGAGCTCTGTGACGGTGCATAGATATATATGTGTGTGTGTACATATATGTGTGTGTGTGTATTATTATATATTATTTAAAAAATATATAATTTTTTTCTATAAATATATAAATTTTAAATA